CCCACGAATGGCTGAGCCACCTGCGGGCAGAAGCTCATGGCCACGGCCTGCTGCAGCGAGGCGATGGCGGAGGCGACCTGCAGCGGAGGCGGCGGTGGGAAGAGGCCCACACACTGGCCGAGCTCAGCCTGCTGCACCATCTCCCGGTCCTACTTGACAATCTCCTGGAAGATGGCGTTCTCCTGGTTGTTGAACACGCCCGAGTTGAGGTCATGCTGCACCTTGTGCAGGAGGAGGGAGTTCTTCTTGCCCATACGGTCCAGGCAGTAGATGGCCACCATCTCGAAGACACGCCGCATCATGAGGTACTCCTCCAGCACCTCGTTGAAGTTGTCCACGATCAGCGAATAGAAGTGGCAGTAGGTGTCGGCCCGCACGTGAGCAGGCAGATCTCCCTGAAGTAGGAGCCATCAGAGAGCTTCATCTCCTTGTTGCCCTTGGTGAGCATGCTGACCATGCCATGCTGGATGAAGTACATCTTCTTCCCGATGGTGCCCTCCTGGATGATGTAGTCACCCGGCTGGAAGACCTCGAACTTGAGTCCGCATGGCCGTGACGAAGTTGGGGTCGGCATTGGCAAACAGTGGCATGGAGGCCACCAGCTTCCGGGAGTTGAAGTTGACAATCTCCTCCCGGAGGGGCCCGTTGACTCGCCCAGGATGCTGTCCTCGTCAAACATCTTGCCCTGGTAGCGGTGCTCGTAGTAATCGTGGATCTTCTGACGGATGTCGGCCGGCAGCTTGTGGAAGGACATGTACTGCTCCACCTGCTTGTACTTCTCCTGGTACTGGTGCAGTGAAGAGTCCAGCGACTGGATGAGTGCGGTGCTGTGGCCGATGAACATGGTAGCAGGTGGTGCCCACGATCATGCTGAGCATGGTCAGCCAGATGTCTGTCGTGCTCTTGGGCGCCTGCTGGCCGTATCCAATGCACAACATGTGGCTCATGGCCTTGAAGAGCACAAAGGAGTACAGCTCGCTCCACGAGTGGTTCACAATGCCGTTGATGGACACCCAGCAGTTGCGCGGGAAGTCCTGCAGCATGGGCATCAGGAACTGCAGGCAGCTGTCCCAGTGGCAGAGCAGCAGCATAATGCTGATGAGGTTGCAGATGCGCATGACAGCGCTGGCCAGGTCATAGGTCATGTGGAAGATCTCCTCCCACTGGTGGATGTAGCAAATCAGGCGCGACAGGCGCAGCAGCTGCAGGAGGCTGAGGATCTTGGTGAAGCACCATGTGCAGGGCGCCGTCCTTAGACCTCGGAGTCGATGCCCTTCTCCACAATGAGGAAGGTGTAGTCCACGGGGATGGAGGACAGGAAGTCCACCATGAACCACATGCGCAGGTGTTTCTTCTTGATCTTCTCGGGATCCAGGATGATCTCCCTATTGTCCTCGATCACGATGCCCATGCAGAAGTTCAGCACCAGGTCCATGAGGAAGAAGGTGTCGGAGACCACGTTGAACATGATCCACGGGAAGGTAGTCTCGTCCTTGAAGAAGCGGGATGATGAGGTTCCTTACCATGAACAGCAGCATGGTGAAGTCCCAGTAGAACCTGGGGGCTGGAGGAAGCCTGGGACCCCCTCCTCCACGAGGGTGGCTTCAATGGGGCCCCAGCAGCCAACACCAGTGTGAGCTGAGGTCTCCTCCAGCAGCTGCCCAGCCACCCTCTTGGCTCAGACAGGGAAACTGAGGCTCCTCCAGCCATGAGCAAAACAGTGGGATGGGAACCCACCCAGATCCCCGTCACTCTCCTGCCTGAGCTTAGGGTTCTTCCCCTGGAAAGTCCCAAAGCGATGGAGGGCCTATCTCTCCAGGGCCAGATGAAGCTCGGGGCATGAGACCTCTGACCCTGCTCCCAAACCGCACGAGGCCGTCAGGTCCCCTGGCAACGCAAGGCCCAGGACCCTCGGACTTGCATGGGGTCACCCGAGTGCCCAGAACCCTCAGCCTTGCTTGGGTTCCCCCAATTGCCCAGGACCCTCAGCCCCTCGGACACCTGGGGAGGGCCTGCCCTGGGGGTCTTCAGCCCCTGCTGAAGCCAGAGTCCCAGGTTGCGGAATGGGCAAGGGCAGCCAGGCCCTCCCTGCAGGAGGTGGGAGTCCAGGCCATGGAACCCATGAAGGGTCCCTGCCAGGGACCCCGGGGCCAGGAAGCTGGAGGCAAGCCGCTGACCACAGGACACAAAAAGGAGGAACAGCTACAGGACTCAGGCCCTCCTGCTCAAGATAATCAGAGGGAGGAACTGCCACCCTTCTGCACCATCTCAGGAGAGAAGAAGCTGCCAGGAGTCTCTGGAGAATCCGCTGGGGCTGATGCTGTGAGATTGTGCCCACACCTCAGCTCCCAGGCTCCCCACGAAGACAGAACTCTAGCCCGCTCCAGACCCCAGCCTCAGGGGGAAGATCATTCCCTCCCAGTGGAAGGGGCGAAGACAGGAAAGGGGTCCTATCCTCCAGCCCCGGGGAAACAGAAAAAGCCTAATGCCATGGGTCTGGCCCCAATGTCATCTCCTGGTGTCCCTAGCTCAGTCCATGCTACACACAACCCAGTGCCTTGTGGGTCAGGCCAGGGCCCCTGTCACCCAGCCAACCTCCTCAGCACATTGGCCCAGAGCAATCAAAACACAAAACAGAAGCAGGGGTCCCTGGAAGTGACCTGCCAACTTAGGAAAAAGACATGAACCCTATACTGCTCAGATCAGCTGAAGGAGCTAGAGAGGATATTCCAGGAAGACCACTATCCTGAAAGTAATAAAGGCCCGGAGATAGCCCAGAAGGTGGAGGTGACCCCCCCCCCCCCCCCGCCCAGTGCATCATGGTGTGGTTCCAGAATCTCCAGGCCAAGTGGCGAAAAACAGAGAAACTGAATGGGAAAGAAAGCAAGGACAATCCTGCAGCCCCTGGCCCTGCCAGCAGTCAGTGCAGCTTACGGCTGAGCTCCTGTCTCCTGTGCCCGTGGAGCCAAAGCCTGACCCTTTCCCTCAGGAGTCTCCCCTCTGGATACCTTTCCAGAGCCCCCCATGCTGCTGACTTCTGACCAGACTTTGACCCCCACCCAACCCAGTGAGGGTGTTCAGAGGGTGGCAACCCCCCCTTCAGCCCCCCACCTGTGTGAAGGGCCTACCTTCCTTTCCCCCTTGGCCCTGTCCACACCCCCCAACTGATGCCGCTGCTGATGGACATTGCCAGCAGTGACAGCAGCCACAAGAATGGCCCCTGTGTGTCCTGGGGGACAAGCATTGCCCTGCTGCCCCCCCGTTCATATTTGGAAGAGCTGGAGCCCTAGGATTACCAACAGAACAACCAGCCAGGGCCCTTCCAGTTCTCCCAGGCTCCACAGACCCCACTTTTCCAACCCCCTCAGCCCCAGTTTCCCTACCTCCCCAGTTTCCCCTTCTCCATGCCCAGTTCACTGATGCTTCCACGGCCTGAAGACTCTCTGTTTACATTTCCCTGCGGCTCCAGTGGGGGCACATCATAGGGCTATTGCCCAGGCGCCTCCTTGGGGCAGATTCTGATGCAGCCGCCTCCTGGGAATATGGGTGCAGCCTCCTGGAGTGACCCCTGTTTTCCAGAACTGCCCTTACCCGGTCCGTTCTGTCTGCAAGCTCTGGGGCACCCCCCAGGAGGTGATGGCTACTTTCCTGATCTATTTCTAGCTCTCTGCACTCAGGCTCTGGGCAGGCAGACTTGTCAGGTCTCTCCTGGCTGCCTGAAGGGGCCAGGCCAGGGACCAGGCCCTTACTCAGCAAGGCAAAAGAGGAACCACTGGCTGCTTCCCTGGATCAGCCCTCAGCACTGGAGGAGGCCAGAGGGGACGACAAGAATAGCCATGTCCCCTAGTTGCAGGGGCCAAAGAGTGAAAAGGGACTGCTTGGTGGGATAGGATTGGGTCCACTCAGAGGATAGGGGTTGGAGGTTTGGGAGAGTGTGGACTCTGTAGACTGAGGGGGGGAGCCAGATGTTTCCCCTGCGTAGGCTCGTCTGGCTGATATAAGAAGGAAGAGGGAGGGCCCTTTCTTTTTCTCCACACATCTATGTGGGGTTCCTGAAGAAAGCAGGTGGCCTGTGTTACTTGTGAATGTTGTATCAGGTGTTTTTGTTTGTTTCCTATCCTGCTTGATGACTGAGCTGGAGTGTCCACTGTAGGCAGTAAACTAGTCTGTCGCGGGGGGGAGATGGGGGGAAGCCGGGCCCGCCCCTCGCGAGGGGCCGCTGAGCGCAGTCAGCCGCCGCCGCCTCAGCTGCGCTCAGTCGGGAAAGACGCTCGCCGCCTGCAGCCCGTAGCCCGCTGCAGGTCGCTGAAGGTTCCGCACCTCTGGCGCTGTCGCCCGCGCGTCCGAAACTTCCAGCACTTGAGTAAGAGTGGTGAGGCCAGGCGCGGTGGCTCAAGCCTGTAATCCCAGCACTTTGGGAGGTCGAGGCGGGTGGATCACGAGGTCAAGAGATCCAGACCATCCTGGTCAACAAGGTGAAACACCGTCTCTACTAAAAATACAAAAATTAGCTGGGCATGGTGGTGCACGCCTGTAGTCCCAGCTACTCGGGAGGCTGAGGCAGGAGAATGGCTTGAACCCAGGAAGCGGAGGTTGCGGTGAGCCGAGATCGCGCCATTGCACTCCAGCCTGGGTAACAAGAGAGAAACTCCGTCTCACGAAAAAATAAAAAAAAAAAAGTGGTGAGAGCAGATATCCTGCCTTGTTCCCGGTCTTAGGGGGGTTCATTCATGAGCTCAGATTTCCCACATTACAACTTCAGGATGCCTAATATTGGATTCCAGAATCTGCCTCTCAACATATATATTGTGGTTTTTGGTACGGCTATTTGTCTTCATCCTTAGTTTACTCTTCTGTTGCTACTTGATTAGGTAACTAATTTTCATTCTGTGTCACTTCAAAATATGTTAAACAATCAATAGTAAATCAAGTTTCTATCCTCAAAAAAAAAAAAAAAAGAAGCCGCTCCCCTGTGAGGGTGCGGACCCGGTGTGGCGGCCGCAGGTCCAGGTGCCATGGCTGCGGAGCGGACCAGGCCACTGCGAGGCTCTGGCGGCCCGAGTGCGCTTAGTAGCTGTGAACCCGGCGCGAGGTCCCGGGCCCCGGGGTGCTCGCTCAGGTAAATTTTTCCATAACCTTATGGAGAGAAAGGACTTTGAGACATGGCTTGATAACATTTCTGTTACATTTCTTTCTCTGATGGATTTGCAGAAAAATGAAACTCTGGATCACCTGATTAGTATGTGTGGGGCAGTCCAGTTCAGGCATCTCTCCAATAACCTAGAGACTCTCCTCAAGCGGGACTTCCTCAAACTCCTTCCCCTGGAGCTCAGTTTCTATTTGTTAAAATGGCTTGATCCTCAGATTTTACTCACACGCTGCCTCGTCTCTAAACAGTGGAATAAGGTGATAAGTGCCTGTACAGAGGTATGGCAGACTGCATGTAAAAATTTGGTCTGGCAGATAGATGATTCTGTTCAGGATGCTTTGCACTGGAAGAAGGTTTATTTGAAGGCTATTTTGAGAATGAAGCAACTGGAGGACCATGAAGTCTTTGAGACCTCATCATTAACTGGACACAGTGCCAGAGTGTATGCACTTTACTACAAAGATGGACTTCTCTGCACAGGGTCAGATGACTTGTCTGCAAAGCTGTGGGATGTGAGCACAGGGCAGTGAGTTTACGGCATCCAGACCCACATTTGTGCAGCGGTGAAGTTTGATGAACAGAAGCTTGTGACAGGCTCCTTGGACAACACTGTGGCTTGCTGGGAATGGAGTTCCGGAGCCAGGAAACACCTCTGTTTATACATCTTTGATCCTTGGTGAATCTCTCTATGAGATACATTCCTAGGAGAAACGTTGAGAGTCAGAGGAGGCGCTGTCTTACTTGTGACACTTGTTGCTAAATTGCACTCAGGAAAGATTCAATTCTGGTTTATACTTCCACCTGGTATGGGTGGTGCTTGGCGCAGGGGTCCTTTCTGAGCCTGGTGGGGCTGAAAACTAAACCACACTCTGCTTGACCATCAGGGAGCTGCATCTGCCCCAAGGAAGAGATGCCTGTCCCTTCATCACACACAGGTTCTATAGGGGCAGGCAAGCTCCTGGTGCCAGGCTGTGAGGGCAGGCATTCTGCTACCCAGAGCATTTCAGTTCCGGGCATTATCAATGTTTTCATCCTGGGCAGGGTAAAAGGTAAAGGCGATCTCATTTTTGTTTCTAATTTGTATCATTTTAACTATAAAGTTTGAATACTATTTTACATGTTTGTTGACTATTCATATTTATTTCTTTGGTAAAATCCTTATTCATCAAATTTCTCAATATTTTTATGATATACGAATCTTTATTGATTTACAAAGTCTTAACGGCTTCTATGTTCATCAATTATGTTATTAACATTTTCTTGAGTTCACTCTTTAGTTTTCTCTTATTCATTTACTTGCGTCAACGATATGATTTAAATGTTTTATATGGAAACATTTCTAGCTTTGATTTCTAGCTTTGATGCCTTTGTTATCCCCAAATATATAAAAATGCTTACACCTTTTTATTTTTCGAGACAGAGTCTCGCACTGTGGCCGCGGCTGCAGTGCAATGGTGCAATCTCGGCTCCCTGCAATCCCTCCGCCTCCCAGGCTCAAGTGATTCTCCTGCCTCAGCTTCCTAACTAGCTGGGATTACGGGCACCTGCCACCATGCCCGGCCAATTTTTCGTATTTTTAGTAGAGATATGGTTTCACTATGTTGGCCCGGCTACCTTTTTACATTTGATTATTTATAATCCATCTGGGATTTTGTTTGGTCACAAGGGGCAAGGTGGACATTCTATTTCTTCTTCCCTAGTGATTAGTCAGTTTATCCAACAGTCCATCTTCTCCTCACTACTAGCAATTAAACTTTATCAAATGCCAAATTGCTTATACACTTGGGTTTAGTTCTAGTGTTTCTTTTGTTTTTCTTTGATCTATCTAATATCCAGTAGGTGTTGCTGCCTTTAATTACTACAAAGCTTTGTAATTTTGCTTCATTATAATTCTTTTACCAGGATTTGAAAAACCCTGAGGGTGAAAGCTTCTCCCCTCACAAGATAAGATCTTAACTTTTATTATCAGTACACACAGAAAATACCAAGTGTATGGATTCATAGATGACAGATTCTCTGATTCCGTTTTAGGGATAACTCAAACCCACCAATCATTACTTGGCACCATGTTGAGGGATTCACTTTTCTATTTTGAGAGTGGGATGGACAGCACTCAGGACCTCAGTGTGCACGTCATCACGGGTGCACAGATCCCCTTGAGGTGTCAGCTCTGCTCTGGGGCCAGTTTGCTCCATCCATGGGGTCAGAGGTACATCCAGCAATTTTGTTCCTGGGGCCTGTCTCTGGGATAGAAGAGGTTTTAGAATCTCTAAGTTACAGTTTTGGAGAATTCTAATATTTATAAAGTTCTTTCACAATTTTTTTTTCTTTTTTTTGAGAAGGAGTATTGCCTTGTCGCCAGGCTGGAGCACAGTGGCATGATCTCAGTTCACGGCAACCTACATCTCCTGGGTTCAAGCAATTCCCCTGCCTCAGCCTCCTGAGTATCTGGGACTACAGGCACATGCCACCACACCTAGTTAATTTTTTGTATTTTAGTATAGAGATGGGGTTTCACCATGGTCAAGATGGTCTCGATCTCCTGACCTCTTGATCCGCCCATCTTGGCCTCCCAAAGCACAAATTTTACTTCCTAAGATGTGTGTGTGTGTGTGTGTGTGTGTGTGTGTGTGTGTGTGTTAAATTTGCCTTCTGAGGTTAAGACTTTGTCCTTTATTGTCACACAGTTTAGTTGTTCAGAGACTACTATTACCAGCATAGCAAAGTGGCCTACAGCATTGACCCTGGAGCCAGATTAGGTTCAACTTCCAAGTTTATGACCTACTAGCTATGTGACCTTGTGCAAGTTACTGAGCCTCTCTGGGCCTTGGTTTCCTCTTATGTAATAGACTCTCCCTCTTGCATCTGGGCTGCCCTATTACTGTTTTGACCAAGAAAGTGTGGCAGAAATGATGGCATTTTAATTATAAGCCTAGCCTTTTAGAGGATGGACAGCTTAGGTCTTGGTCTCTTGGAGCCCTGAACTGCCATGTAAGAACTCCAAAGACTGCCAGAGAGGCCAAATGGTGGGGCAGAGTTGGGGGTGCCAGTCTTTCCCAATCCTTGCCAAGACCAGATGTGTTAGCAGCCTGGAAGCCACCTGATTTCCCCAGAGCGCACCTGGTTAATGCCGCATGAAGCAGAAGAATCATTTAGCTGAGCTCTGCCTGAACTTCTGAGTGACAAACCATGAGATAGTTAAGAATCATTGTTGTTTCAAGGCACCAGGTTTTGGGGTAATATGTTACATAGCTTACCTAGTAATAAATAACCAGAACAGGTAGTGATATGAGGGTGTGTGTAGGGCCAACTTCATGATCTGTGGGGCCCAGTTCAATAAAAAATGGGCCCTTGCTCAAAAAGCGAGATAAAATGGCCATTAAAAGCATTAAAATAGAAAACTTTTTTTTCTTCTGTTGTCCCTTTCACGTTGTCATCGTGTTTTTCTTAAATTTGCTATTTAAAGTCATTCTAAGTAAATAAAAATCAAAATTATAAATTATTAGCATGGACTTTATCATTTATCTTTATACAGAATTTACTCTGCTGGTTTTATATGTAAATATAAAAACATTGGGCTTTTATGCAGAATCACCAAAATTACACAATTTGTACTCTGTAGCTCTTATGTGCCTATGCATTTCATTCTTTACCGGAACAGTGGCGATGCTGCACAAAACTAACTCAGTCATTTCTATTCCACTTCCTGCTATGTGCACGAGCACCAGCACCCTCTCTACTTGTGGCTGACCAATGCGTGAGAAAGCACTAGAGGACAGGAGCTCTAGATTGCTCTATCCTTCCCTTTCTGTCTATGCCATGAATTTCAGAGTAAGTGGTTGGCTAATTACAGGGAAGTAGCCCAGGTAAGGAAGGATATGCTAGGGTGCTCTGGTTGTCTTCTTTCTTATATTGCCATTGCCTTCTTTCTGCCTTTGAAGCATGTACTGGTTCTAAAAGCGTGAATGGCCTCCTGTAGCTGTCCATATTCCTTTTATCCAGTCATAGGTGTGGCCTCCTGTGGCTTTCCATACTCCTTTTATCCAGTCATAGGTGTAACATGATTCCTTTATACTTGTTTTCAGTCTCACTGAACTCCATATATCCTGGGTCCACAGGCATTCTGTGCTCATGAGCATTATGAGTGGAGTGGGCTAATGGGTAGCAAAGCACAGAGGTGGACATGCATGTTGTGTATACCTCCTCTGCTCATGCAAGTGCTGAGTTGTCCCATTGGATTCTACTTACCAAACACAAGTTCAAAAATATAATTATTAAGAATTTCAAGAAGACGACAGCAGAGCATTAACCTAACTGTGGGTCCCTATGTGGCTGTGTGTGTTGTATGTCTATGTGGTTGTGGGCTGATCCTAGGTGTGGCTACCTCTTTGTGTAAATTTTTATGAACCCATTATAAATCTATGACTCGTGCAGATGGTGGGCATGTGAGTCAAGTTTGGCTAATCAGACATCCAATGCCCTTGCGCTCAGTGACTGGAAAAATGGTGGGCATATAACTCAATTGGGGCCACCTAGATGCATCCTTGAGATTTGACACAGGAATCACAGGAATAGAAAGGTCTCTTCCTGTTGGGCAGTGCACTGTAAGGACATGGCCCTGGGGCTTGCGGAGGCATATTTCTTGCCTTATAGAGAGCCTGTGAAAGAGAAAGGACAGACAGAGAAGAGTGTAGTTGGGAACTGGAGCAGGTGAAAGAGAGAAAACCATTCACACATTATTTAACCTGCATGTTTCCTAGCTTGATCAAAGCTCCATCCCCACCTTGATGTCCCAGTTGTAGAGGCCAACAAATCCTTTCTCTGTTTTTCTGTCTCTTTCTTCTTTTTGTTGTAAGCCATTTTGAGTCAGGTTTTCATCTCTAGCAATGAAAGGTACCTGAAAAATATGCTACCACATTGTGTTGTTGTGAAAACTAAAAGAGATCACTTGTGTAAGATCCTTGACATCAGTGAATATTTACAGCTCCCTAGATTGCAGTTTCTTTTTTTTCCATATACATACAACTTCTACAGCATCTTTTACTCAAGATGAGGCCCTTCCCTTTTCTCAATGGCATTTAGAATACTTATCACAGACATTTGCTTATAAGAGATGCTAAATAAACATGTATGAAAGCTCCAGGACCTTTGCAAGTGATCAAATTTTTCTTTAACATAGCCTGTGAAGTGGGTACTATTACTGTCTCCATTTCATAGATGAAGACACTGATTAAGAGGAGGTTAAGTTATTTGTCAAGTGTCACATAGGCTGGAAATTGTAGAGTCGAGATTTGAACTCAGGTCTCTCTGCTTCTGAAGGCCCTGCTGCTAGTTTTGTTCTTTAATGTTCCAGGGACCTGAAGTGAGTACACATCAACCCGATAAACCACTTCCAGGAGGAAGCATACAATTTTTTCAAACTCTTCTACTAGAAAAGGGGTCAGCAAACCATAGCCAGCTTTGGAATGCAGCCTGGTTTTGTAAATAAAATGCTATTGGAGGACATCAGATACGTACACAGTCATATTGCTCTAGATGTGAGTAACTGATCAAGATCAACATATTTTGGTTCATTTGGATGATGAATTTAACAGAGAGCTTCCCTATGCTCTCAAGACCTGCATTTTTAGCTATTTAAG